CCTATTGAAGAATTGATTGATACAATTAAAACTGGTGATCGACCACTTTCAGAAGCTGGTCTTGAGGTATGTTTTATCATTCGTTTCAGGCTCAAGTTACCAACTCTAGTTCAGACTGTCATCTGCGATACATCCATAAAATATTGAACTTTCTATTGTATATTTTATAATGCTTATGCTCTTACAGTAAAAACTCTATTTTCAGAAATTAATGAGCTCAGCTTACTTAAATACATGTGAAGCTTCTGATCTCGCTAGATTTTGTGCAAAAGCAGTCGCGGTTGCATTAACTGAAGGAGCTTATCTTAAAACAGCAATTAAAGATTCTTTGTCACAGGTAGGAAAAAATTATCTTAGTGATTAAGTCTGTATGTTACAATAATCATAGTTTAAGAATCTTTAAATTTTCCGTCTGAATTTTTTGGTTTATTTGCATTCTCAGTGCTGTAAATTTCATATTTGCTAAATCTATTCATTTTTATTCCGTCATTTTTTCATGTTTATATTGCAGTTATTAGTAGATCCTGATTTTGCATCATCTTTACTACTACGCTGTAGTGAATTCAAAACGCTGGAACCAACAGAAAGTTCTAGCTTGGATTGTTTTGAAACTGAAAATGAGAAGGAATTCGAGGCTAGACGTGCCTTTGTATTGGAGATATTGATAGCAAATAGTAGCCTCAAGGCATCAGCTATGCTTCTTCAACAACTTCACAAAATTTTGAAAGAGTCAGTTTTGCGTTTGATTTCGTTACTGAAGGCTTAATGAATCATTACTGATTTCCAATCTTGAATGATTTTGATGCTAAGGGAAGTAGTTTGAAGAGTAGAAATGAAGTATCAGTAACCAATGATATTTTATAACCAGTAACCTCAGTGATCACTCACACATATAAACATTCTCATAATCATGACTGATTATCAGTTGCTATTGTAAATTCTGTAGTCGAAAATGCTCATTTATAGAAGCGTTGAGAGAACCGATGAAAATGGCAAGTTTCTGAAGCAACTTGTCATTCGTGCAATTGTGTGTCTGGTCAGGAATCCTAGTTAGTTTATTCATTTTATTATTCTGTTATTTTAAAAGAATTGATTGCTTAATCATTGACTGTACAAACCAAAACTTGTGGTTATTGGCGCTGAGCTATCTTCTCTAGTGTTCTTAACGAAGCGCTCTGTGTTATGTGACTCAAGTACTTGTTTACCTTATTCTCATTTTTTCTTCGGTAAATCAGCCCCATTATAGACGAACTATTGTTTTCAAGACAAATGTAAGTATTTTGTGGTTTCAGATGGATATAGTATTTTGGCGGAAGATTTGCATCTAGATACATATGTAGATATTATTCGCCACACTCGAGACCATAGTATCCTTCGAGATTGTTTGCAGCTACTCACGTGTGTCGTATCTGTATCGCCGGTAAAAGTTTCAACTAGTCATAAGACAAAATTATTTATATTAAATACAGTGAAAAGTTTTTTTTTTTTTTTGTAGAAAAAAGTATTGGTTCATCTCATGTCAATCTACACCTTTATGGGTGATGGAATATTGAAAAAGGATAACGATTTGACGCTGAGTGTAATAGAGGAGACACTAAATGTGTTATTTTCAACTGTTATGACTGAAAAGGTTAGGTAAACTATATATTATAGCGTGTATTTTGTGTTAAGTTTCAACTTCAAGAAAAAATGTATTCGTATAAAAATTTTCATCATGCTAAAAGTTCGCGGCATTGAAGTCGGTGAATCATTGTAAGTGTGATTATTAGAAAACTGGTCATTTATTTTCTTGACCTCTGGGAATACTTCTAGGATTATTCATTTCACGATAATCTGGTCACAACATGTCGACTGTTTGCGGCATCAGTTATTGACATTCCTGCTCATCGTCGTGACAAAATTTTACGTGCAATTGCTCGATCTGTTGGTCCATGCTATCTTTGGGCAGTCATTGCTGTATTTTTTGAACACTACTGTATAAGTTGGCCTAGAAAATCAGGTTTATTCATTTCAAAAATTTTATCATTCTTCAGTCAAAAATTTAATGCAAATTTTTTTATTTTTACGGAATTGGTTTCATTGGGTTTTTCATACATCAGCTGCTGACTTAAAAGCTTGAAACCGTATTTTTAGAAACTATGTAATTAGGAGGTTTCTAAACTAGTAAGAATTTAAAAAGTCTCCATTAAAATTTTTCATTGATATTGTTTAGAGCGTGTTCCTCTCCTTTTGTGCTGAAAATAATAAATAAGGGTTAGTAATATACATCAGGTCGTACATCAGCTGAGTTGTATGAAGAGATGTCAAACGTTTTGGTATCAGAGTACGATGCCATCGTGCAGTTCTCATGTGCAGCTGATATAATTAAATACGTCATAAAATTGGGAGGAGATTTTATGACAAGTGAGGAGCAAACAAGAAGTGTTGTTAGCGAAGAGGGGAATCTGTTAAAAATATTTGATCGAAGGAAACTTTCGATCCAAAAGTTACGGCACTATCGTTTTTCAGTTTTGGGCTGGATAGTGAGGCTATTGGAAAGTCAAGAATTTGAAGCAAAAGTAATAATTAATTTTAAGAAATTTAATGTTTTCTGTTAAATTTTTTAATGAAAAGTAAGTGATGGTTTTTTTATCTTTAAGAAATTTTCAAAAGATTTTCCTAGAAACATTCAATGTTTTCAAGTTTGTGCTAGGAAAAAAAAATATAAAAACTAACATTGTAGTACACACATCGAATTAAAATTTGAGAATAAAGTTTGAAGCGGGTTTATACAAAAATGGCACAAAAATTTTTAATATTTTAGTTAAGTGCCGTATCTGATGAATCGTATGACAAGTTGGTTGAGATTGCCAAACATCTCTTGCTTTGTTCTGTTGAACTGGATGATTTTGTTATTGTGCAAACATTGGATTCTGAAAAAAGCAATGTACAGCAGAAAAATTCTGAACAATCGCATCTGAACAATTATAAATATTGGATTGTTGTCTCGTCACGTGCGGGCATCATCATTGAAAAGGTTCAGTTACTGTAAATCCAGAAAATGCATCTCTATGTTTACTTAACGGAATGTTGTTTAAGGGTGTCTGTTACTTTTAATACTTCGAAAAAATTTTTCTTTCGTTCATTTGCTATCTGAATTTAATTTCTCGTTTCAGTTTCAAAATGTATTACCAAGTAGGGTTTGTGGAAATATTGTAGTCGATGTTTTGGAACAAACCACAGAAAGGCCGAAATTGAGAGACTTAGCTCTAAAGTTTTTAAATAACAAGCTGCTGCAAGATGATTCTAATGCATGCATGATGAAAGCAAACGATCTAGAAAACTTGGTTAGGAAATTCAATTCTTGGCTACAACCGGTTGGAAACGAGATAGATGTAAGTCTTTGTCACATACATGCAAACATGAATCACTATTGTAATTTGATGCCAAAAACGTGCGAATTTGTTTCAGGTTGATTTATGCCAGAAATCTGCTTATACTCTGAGATTAATAGCACGTAATATTTCATCGTCGATGAGTTTTGAGCGATTCTGTGAAACATTGAAGCTTACTGTCAAATTGGTGAGTTAACCAAGTTTTCTAGATCGTTTGCACTTGTTTCAGCTTTTGTGATACCAGTTTTTTCCATTCAAAAAATTCAGTAGTGTCATGAAAGTGTTGAAACCAATGTTTTTTTGTACTTATTGATAAGGTGTTACAATAACTGATAGATAAGCAGCACTACTGCATGGCTCATAAGCTAAGCGCAGCAGCACGATTAAGAATTGCTGATAGCAATAAAAGTTTGCTAATGTGTAAATGCAAAGCTTACGTGCAAAAAAGTAGTTAATTGTTATCTGGAAGTTGGAAGTGAAAATTACATGGTTATATGCAAAATTATGTATGCATTATTTCTAATGAGAGGGCAAATGCAAAAGCGTGGCGTGAAGTACAATTTTTTAAAAGGCATTGAGCCAATATTAACCTGATTTTATATCATTTAAGCTTTGTTTATAGTTATCAGATCGAAGTATATATGATGAAGTGGCCACGGGTAGTTTGCTTCTTTTAGCGGGTGAGCTGATGCGGTTTCAACGTGTGAAAAATGCTGTTTTATATTCTAATACTTTAACTACTGTTTGCACAGAAATTCTTTTCGCATTGCTTGAAAACCATCCTACGGTCGAAATTGTCTCCAAAGTCCGAAACAGTTTATCAAAAGATAGAAATCTGGAAAAACGCAAATCTCTTGCTTCGCATGATACAAATGACAACTATTTTGGTAGGTTGTGATTTAGTTTTTGATGTATTTATAAAGGGATTTCAAATCCTATGACAAGATTTCAAAAAAAAGTTTATTTATACTGAATAAACTCAATTCTTATTTGATTGGCTATATTTATTTTTTTTTAACAAATTTTACTGCAATCATGAAATTTAATTATTTTCCACTTTAAATCAATTTTTTGATGCTTACAGCAAGTGGAGACGCATTACTAGTCTGCTCTCTGATTTGTTTGCAGCGGATTTTAGAGAATTTTGCGGAATTCGTATATAAACATGTATCTACAATTCTGATCGTTGTATCGAGATTATGTCAAGCCTATAATTACTTACCCATTATGATGGTTAGCTTTGTAATATTTTTCTTTGAAATAGATTTTTCAGTCAGTTTTTCATTCTTTGAAATAGATTTTTCATTCGTGAAAGAAGAATTTTTTAGGTTAATTCCAGTCGGCATGTTCCAACAATAAGTACGTCTTCAGCTGCTCAGCAACGGATTTTTCTTATTGTCCGTGCATTATCGAAAATAGAGCTGAGGCTTGTTTTGAGTCCTTTCGACGAAGCATGCAAGACTTTGATGGCAGAACCAGTTTGTTTTGTTTTGCTGTGCTCTACTTTAAAAATTCAGTTTAATAAATGAGATTTTATAATAAAATGACAGCAGTCACTTGATATGATTCATATAAGCATCATTGTGCTTCATAAAGCATTTTATCAGCTAACGACATCTTTTAACCACAAATTTGAAACCATCTTTTTCATTTTTCTGACGAGACTAAGAAAATTTTTCTTCATTCTTGGCATTTGATGCTTTATCAAATTGCTATAAAATCGCTGTACCAATTACATCACATTTAATTTCACTCTTATTGTTTAAAATAAGTGTAATATTCGTCAAAATTTACAAATTGCAGGCTGCTGTGAGTATACTTTTCAAGATATTTTCTTCAATGAATGAACTGAAAAGTAGAAATGTGTTGCTGAAATATATCGTTGAAGTTTGCAACGTATTTTTGCGTGGTCTTGATATAAGAACAATTAATATGGTATTCGAGGTAAGTGAGCGACATTTGGACACACCCTTATTTCGCTCTCTAATATATTGGCTGCAGATTTTAAAGAATTTTACAGAAAAAGGAAATGATTGACAATGCAGAAATATCCGTCATTGACAGCTTCTTGGGAGTTGTCGATAATTTAACGGAACTTGAGTTTCGAATGATATCTAAATCTATCGATATGCGTTTGCAAGAATCTGTGTCACCTGATGCTAATTTTGAAATTCGTTATCGGTTGATCACAATATTTAGATTTTTAAATCAGTGGGTTTTCAAGAAATGTTAAAGTTAAAAAAAATAGTGTTCTTGTTTTATGTTTTTCATATTTTACTCCGTTTTCTGGGTTTACTAGTGTCACCTTTATTATTTGCTTCTTGATTCATAACTTGCTCGCAAAATCAAAGAAACATCCAAGCCTACAAGGTTATAACATCTCCCATTTTGTGTGTAGGTTCATAACTTCTTACTTTTGCTTTTTCTGTTGCAGATTCTATGATTCGTACAAAAACTTGTCCTTACCACATTTTGGTCGCTTTTTCAGCTACTTACCGAATTTGTTTGCAAAATGCAATGCTCATTTGACGGGTAAATATCCATTTTTGAATAAATTAATGTCTCTAATTTTCCGTTTTAACTTTCAAAGGTGATTTAATTGAAGATACGAGGTCTTTGGTTATACGCAACTGTGGCGATTCAGTTATTGCTGCTGTCTCATTGAATGATTTGCTGATTGCTCTAATTGATTTTGTAAAGAATTGTGCTCGTCACCGGACATTTTTCACTCTGCAAGTTCTCAGTTTAAGGCTTAGTTTCATAAAATTTTTCTGTTTAGCAGACAAATAACAAGGGTGCAAGCAGTCTTTTGAAGTGTTTAAACTAAGTCTTGGTTTAAGTATACCTGTTATACTTTATTTCTGAAACTGTAATTATTTTAAAATAAGTTTGCAGAGAAAGGGCAAAGTCTATATTAGATCCTTTAATAAATGAGCTGGAAAATACGAAAATACCGAGTCATGAGATACGTTGTGTGCCACATCTGGCAGAATGTCTTTACAACGTCATCGATTGCCAAAACGAAATGCTGATGGATGTGATCAATAAAATCGTATTGAAAACACGTAGTGAACGTTCGAAGGTTACTTTGATTTCATATAAAGTTTTATGGTTTAGTAATGATGTGGAATTATTCTATTAAATTTATGATGAGATTTAGTCTTTCCACCATGAATATTGTGTACTGTAGTGTTTCAGCTTACTTTCTTCTTTTCATTGATTTAATAGAACAATTCGCACATCATTATGCTGTAGCTCAACTTTTTGCCATGATTTGTTCACTCCCTTTTAAAGACATACTTTGTAACTAAAATCCATGACATTAAATACTATGTTCCGTTAATTTTAGGTACGTTACCGCACTTTATTAATCCTGGAAAGGTTGTTTGAACGAATGGGTAATGCAGTGGCGCCAGCATTGCCATCAGTGCTGCCGTTCTTAACTGAACTCCTTGAAGGTGAGTTTTCTGTTCTTGAAATATTTTCAACAAGATGAATACCGCCTTGATAGCCTCATCCTTCGAGCCAAAACCGTGCTTGTTTCCCTGATAGAAATATTTGTAGATGATAACAAAAAAGTTGAGATGCAGTGTGACGCAGTAATCAATATCTTGCGGAAAAACTTTGGGGAAGAAATTGCTGAAGGATATGCGTAACCCGTAAGTTGACATTTCATGTCTCATACAGTGATGACTCACATCTACCATCTCTACATGAGACATATATATGACGTCGCTGCTCCTCCATTCTAATCATATATCTCACGAACTCAAGATTCTTAATCAAATTACACTGCATGCTTCACTCATAATTTAGTGAGCTTGAACTAGCGCAGCTGAAATGGATATCCCTTAATTAAAATCTTTTGACGGCGTCATTACTACCATTTACTTTTGTGTATCCCGACGAAATTCTTGTCCATGTCTATATTGCTAATTTGTTATGTTGTTGAATTATCTTGGTCGTTAATCGTCTTTAGTTACTTTGCTGATGTTCATGATCTTGCTAAAGTTGTTCCATCAATCACACTAATAAGTCAATGAAATTAAAGCTAGTTTTTAGTTTAGTCAACCACTGCATTGGAAAATAAAGAATCGCAGCTTCATTGATGCGCCGCATCACCATTGTTTATCTAATTTTATGTTTGAGGTAGTACCTTTTATCAACAATTTTAAGCATATTATTTTGGTCAGCAAATTCAATCCAGAATGATGAAAGAAAATTCACAACGAGTCTGTATGGAAAATACCCTCAGTCCTCATCATCGCGACTGCATTCCTTGCAATTTCGATGAAAGCAAAGAATTACACACTATAGAAATGATTCTGTGAAGTATTCACAAAGACTGCTAGGACTGAGAGTATCCTAGAATAAGTAGAAAGTGGTTTTAATGATCGGTTTTCACAACTAAATGTTGCAGTACACAACATTAGGAATTCATTAAGTAGAAGAGAGATTCTTTATTAATTAAGGCTCAAGGAAGCGCTGTAATACTGACTGCATATATTCTTTACTCTTCAGGAGCACATATATTGTAGTCGACACTGAAACCGGGCACTTTCGGTGATACTAGTTTTATATCCAGACGGATGTGTTGAATATCGGATTCGTTCAAAGACAGCTTCACTTTGATCCTCTGGAAGCACTGTATTTCTATGCCTTCGGCTATTAACGAGTTATCAGTAACTTCATATTTCAAGTCCTTAGGGAAAACAACAACTGATTCCAAACCATAATTTGGGACCAAAACCTATAAAACAGGTTGACGATTGTAACTTTCAAAAGTTTATAGGAAGATATTCTAGACAAGTATCATATAATCTGTAAAGAACTATAAGATTATGGATGTCGTGTAAAAAATTCACCTGGATTCCATTTTTTCGAATACTCATGACAAAAGCATCAACTAATTCTGTCCGATCTTTGAAGTAAAGCAGTGTAGTAAATGAAATAGATGCTCGGCTAGCACGTTGTGCTTGTTTATGCCTAAAAAACTATGGTTTCAGCTTGGAAGAATATTAGCAGTAAAAAAATGACAGTACTGGATAACAAGTGTTTTGAGAGATGGAGGCGATAAGCAAAATTTCTGGATGTTTCTACGGATGTGGGTTCTGAATAGCCAGCAGCCAATCGAAGAACGGTAATCGTGGATCAAAAAAGGAAGGAAAAATACGTTAAAACTATTTAAGTCCTCATTACGATGCTCAGTCACTAGCTTTCTATGCTATCCCTGACTCAGTGATCTCATTAAAAGGCGAACTATTTATAGTGTAAGGTAGCCTATTCAATCGGAAACGGGTTTATAATACGAATTAATAGTTTGACATTCCAAGACTACTTCACATAAATGCATGCCAGAAGAGAATAATACAATACTGGCGAATTATTAAACAAATAAAGCTCAAAAATTTCACGTTTACCTATAGTTAAGATTAGAAGCGATTTTATTAACCAAGTTAGAGTTCAACATTTCGGGACACGTGGAGTCCGCATTAATCGATGCAGCCAGTAGTCTATGAACCATTATATCAGCATATCTTCGAATTGGTGACGTAAAATGTGTGTAGATTGGAGTCGCAAGACCAAAATGTATGTACTGTTCGGCGGGGATTGACCCTGAGACAATTTTTGATGAAATATCAATATTATTGTTCATGGTCAGCAAAAAATGTCTTAAGCTCGTGGATAAACTACTTTAAAAAAATTGTCTACTTCAATACACATTCTAAATTCTTTAATGAAATGAAAATGAAATTTAACTACTCATGAGCAAGAAATTTATCACAAACAAAATTTTTGATAAAATTCAAGATTAGGCTAATTGTGAAACATTTTTATATATAAGGAACCTGCTGAGAAGTACAGAGCCTGCGTCATACAGCGTGTGGCTAACATCCTCAATAATATATTCAACACAGGATTATCCGGATCCACAGCTTTATCGAGACTCTCTGCTAAAGCTTTTCCGCTCTCAATATTGATCTGGAAGCCTTTTGCTTTCGCCATCTAAACTGGTGGTTGATTATTCTTTAATTCTGTCTTTCCATGAGGAATTTTTTATGGAGTAAAAAAATAACGTGACAAGAAATCGCGACACGTTTATAGAACTAGTAAAATACCGCGCAGAAATTTCCTCACATCAACAACTTGCTTGTAATTTTCTTCTGTTGGGATTGGATGTCGTCGAAGTAAAGCGCAATCAGGATAATCTACTGATATGCGCTCCGCAACTGAGATATTTGCAAGCAACATAAATTCTTCAATCTGCAACAGTTGAAATGTGACTAAACTTAGCTATCTCAAATTACGGAGTAAAAAAACGCATCAAACTACTCAACTTATTGAAGAACAGATAATTTTCTGAATTTACGTATAAAGCATAATAACTTGACAAGGGATACTGTTCTGATTCAATATTTTTGATAGGACTTACTGCTTATAATGTCCAGCCTAAATTCATAATACTACTGAATAACTTTCATGGTATTTAATGTACTTTTTACTAGTTCGTCTAGTTAGCTTCCTTACTCTTTTTTTTAATTCGCTAAGTAGGTCTTAGAGTCCAGTGTTAATTCAACAATTTGTGCTTCAGACAAATGAAATTCAATTCAACCCTAACAGCTCTACCCTACAAATGGTTCAAAAAATTGTCTTTCCACTATGCTATCAATATAACTAATGTTACTTTCTTTCCTGAAGAAAGCAGAGAAGTAAAAAAATGTAAGACAAAATCGATAATGAAACATTTTTTAGAAGCAATAAACTAGACCATGCTATTGGTAGGTAGCACGGTTTTTTCCAGAACACCGATAGGACTCTTCGTTGCGGAATCCATGTTGAAACTTATTTCAGATGACGCCAGGTTTAGAGCACCCTTAGCGCGTCGTTTAGCTTTTAGCTTTTTTGATAATTTCAATAGTCCTCGCAGTCCGAGCGTCAAAGGGTCGGACTAAATGAAAGAAATTAATATGAAAAGTAGTTGTAACTAAGTATCCTCTTTTCTTTTTGTTATGATAATTCATTTTTGCATCAATAAAGTCAAGTTACTTGAAATTAGATTGATTTTGTAAAAATAAACTATTGATTTCTGATTATTCTTGTTTTTACAACAAATAATGTAACCAATATCACCTGATAAAATCCTGACCACCTTCAACTTCACTAAACAATCGAAACAGCATTACCAAACGATTCATATCAAGTAATTCATCAGTGACATATGTGTCAGGAGAAAACGATCATGGCAACCCAAACGCAGAGCTTTCACGAATAAATGTTTTTAGTACTATGTAAAAAAAATAAAAACTAGCCAATGAAGTATCATCGATTCTATTTTGAGCTTGCTCGTAGGTCAATGCAGCACTTGATCGTATAATCGATTTTTGAAACCTAACATTCATGATATCAGCATCCTTTGATAGTATCCAAATGACCGAAAACGCTAGACGATTAACGTTTGCTTGAAGAGAACATAAATTACTTGAGAGCAAACCAGGCAACATATCAATACGCCTAAAATTTTGCCGTGACTTAAGTTGAAATTTTAAAATGCTGATTTATGAAAGGAACCATTACTAATATTATTTCGTACCAGTATTCATTATTATGACAAAAGATTGAACGATAATTCACGACTAGCAACTGCTATCAATTTTCACCTGTGAAAAATACCGGTTTATGCTTATAACCTGTTAAAGCCACCAACACTGATATGATATTAAGTAATTCAAAATTAAGACAAAAAGCCTTTACTTGTTGCAGAGGTAAACAGTTGTTCCTCGATAAGCTGCTTCAGTATCTACTGCTGTGTTTGGTCTGACAAAATATGAAACATCCGCAATGTGAACACCAACCTATAATCAATCGGAAGCACTACAAATCCACCTCAAAGTTTATCGATACTGAAAAAATTTGATACACTGGAAAGATCAACATACTTCGTAGCGATTCTTAGCAATCCTCCTAAAATGAACAGCATCATCGATATCGGTACAACCTGGAGGATCAACTGAACACACTATTAGTGAACGAAGATCTCTGCGACAACTGTCATAAGGTAAACTCCAAGGAAGAACAGGTAAACATTCATAAACAGCTTGCGAAAATGGTCCATGTGGAATATCATGTTCCAATAATAAAACCTATGAAATGAACAATCAGATGTTTTCTAAGAGTAAAGCACAGGAAAAAAGGCTAACAAAAAATGCCGACATAAATGTAATAAAAATTATGCTAGCTTCTTTGTATAAACTTCTCAAATTATTATTAAACGTGATACTTCATTCTCAGTTTCTTGATCACCGGCGGTACCAATACTTCTTACATAATGTCCAACTGGATAACGGGAATCACTAGGCCAACTATCAATCGCAACTATAACTCTTTTTCCGAGAAGGCGATCGGCTTGACGTGTTTCAATACGAATCCGAGGTATGAGTCGTTCCGCCGCAGCGAACAGCATGCTAGACGAATCTGCAAATGTATATTTTATGCATATTTTTTTCGACAATAATTGTCTTTTCAAATCACTATTTCCTTATGACCATGATTGTTGGTAATGGTTACAGTACAGAGAAAACAAAGTACTAATCAAATTGAAAACATTATAAAACTGGTTACATTTCTGAACTCTTGGTGACAAATTATAGAAAACTGAATGTAAGACTCAATACCAGAGAATACAGACCTTTTACATTCGGTGTCAGAATCATTCCACAATACTGACGCCAATTTCTTTTTATAATACCTACTATTCGTGCAGAGGGAATTTTGTCGCCCATACTTGATTTTTTTTCACTGGCTTCATTAGTTTGATCGTCCTCTTTGTCAACTGCCTCATCCATTTGAATTTCTTCGACATCTCTCAACTAAAGACCAACCTTTTGAATTAAATGAGACATGTAAACCCATCCGTGTTTCATTCAGTCAGCAGAAAATATATATATGCAGATTTGATGAACGAATCAAACTTTGTAGAAGCAAAATAGAAAGGATATATTAGTGTTGACAAGAAAAAATATAAATTCACTCGAATAATTTTCTGTGGACAGGTCCACTCTGATTCTGGAAGTAATTCAACAGCGACAATATCACCATTCACTGCCCGATTCATATTGATATAGCCTTCAATAAACCACGTCGTTCCCTCATCAACTTGAACAAAAGCTTCTGTATAATTTTCATGAGACACCTTAAACAAATATATTTACATACAAACTTGTTAAAAACCAGCAAAAATATAGAAACACTTCAAATTCTCACAAATTAACTGATATTTCTGAAATCTTAAGGTACTTCTACGTATTTCGAAACATTTTTAATAATAATAAGTTAAATAGAAATCTAAAAAATGACAAAATACTGAGAAAGTCAATAAGAACATGATAAATACAAACATGAAACATAGCTCTTTTGAATTTTCCGCTTTCAATACCGTCCTGTATTTCCTCAGGAGAAAGATGCTCAGGAAACAAGATGCGATTTCTGCTGTCAGCTTCCATATTGTAAACAGTAATTTTATCAAGTAAATGTTCATTTCCTTCCATACCTTCAACATTTGCGACTTCAGTTGTTGTACTCGTTTTATTCACAAAAACAAATACAGTCACACAATAAAAGTAGGCTTGAAAGTTAAATACTATAAATCAAAATACATACATAAGACGACTAACGCAACAAAACCATGCAGAATGCAAAAGCATTAATACCTTCTACATACTCTTGTAAAGTCAGGACATTATCAAACTGGGGTTTTAACTGATCTTTAAGTTCTGCAGAGCCACATACAAGGAACGGAGTTATTGAGAGATCTTTCCAATGATTTTCGTAGTATTTTGCACAAGTAACAAGCGATTGTATCAATCTGAAATTAAATCGCTTGAAAAACTGTAATTACAACCCTAAAATCCATGTAAAAGCATCTTTGGCATGCAAAGAAAAGAAGCAAATCTTGAAAGAAAATATCTATTTCATAACCAGAAAATTTTCTTAGTACACAAAACCTCCACCTGTCTTCTTCACTTTCACCTTCAATTACATCAAGATGAGTTTCACGATGAAAATCATCCATAAAAACGTATAATTTTCGATCTTGACTCTTGCAAAATAATGAATAAATTGTCTTGTAAGCTGGTGGACAGGACTTTTTCATATCTTCCCACACAGTTTGCATGATTATAATATTTCTGAAAAAGAAAAAACAGATTATATCAGGTATTATCAAGATTTGACTGGTTAACTTGAAAATTTTGTACAAGCGAATAGATACAGAACATGAATTCCGGATTCTCGAACAAGTGGTGAAAACGAATCAACGCTGAAGGATCGAGAATGATAGCATGATCCAGGGAATTATCACTAGAAGTTCGAATATTCAGACATGCGACCGGATTTTTTGAACAGTTCTGACATGAAACCAGCCCGCAACTGATATCGTTTCGCAGATACTTCTCTTGAACTTTCTAGACACAAAATATTAGATAGTCCTAAATAATGCTACTTCAATTTTAGATACGGAAAAATCCGACGTTTAGTCACTCATTTTCTCATCAAATATTTCAAATGTGAAACAGATAAAAGAAAAATGGAAACTGATAACAAATACATGACAGCAAACTCTTACTTTTGTAATCCGATCATTCCTCATTCTTCTATGAAACACATCTACCACGCGCCTATCCACCCCACATTGTGTAACATTTAATTCAAACATCCCTGAAAACCCAACTTACTTATAACTATATATATAATTTATTTCTACTCATAAAAGCAGTTATTTTCTTACATTTAGTGAAGAATTGCTTCACTGGAAACAAAAAAGCTATTTTACGAATAAACTTTTTAACAGTTTGAAGAATTATGGAAATAACCATATGAAAGTTACAAAACGACACAAGTATCACTATTTTATACGTTAAATAAGTCAAAGACTCACGACGAGATCATAATGAGACAAATACAACTAGCATTTTCCACGATTTTACAATGAATACAAAACTGATAAATTATATACATTGATACTGTACTAAAAATTTAAAAATATAGGAAAGGTTTCACATTGAATACGCCAAATCTTGAATCATCCTTACAATCGATAATCCTGAAAAAAATTATCTAGTACTTAAAGTCAATAACCAAATCCACAAAAACAAAACATTAGTCGGTATACATACCAATGCAGATGTTGAATCATAATCACTTATTGGGAGAGAATCAGTGCCATGAACAGTACTCTTTATAGGTAAATATAACTTGAATTCCGCAGGAAGTTCATCTTCTGTATACAAACGATCCGCAAAAAAAACTCGTCGGATGCGGCAATTCGCATGGATATAAAATATAATCCATTTTATAAGATCATTATTCTTCATTCACTTACTGTGATACTCACAACGTCTCAAAACCAGTAAAAGAAATTACTTAATTACTTTACAAAAATACGGAAAATTCGAAGCATAAATCATATCAAAACCTGGATTCGGAGAGTTTCGACATAAGATGTACCATAAGCACGTTTTGTAAAATCAGCTAAATTAAACTGAATCTGATTCCAATCATCGTCCAAGCGCATCGGCATTGTACATATAAATGGCTTTACTCGAGTATTAGATTGGTAATTAGATGCTCTAAAACGACGCTTTACACCTCTGTCATCCAGTACCTGAATAAAATTACTGAAATAGTGTTACAACTATACAACAACACAACTTTCACAATTAAACAATAAAAAAAAATAGAAATAGTCGACAAAATATTTCCATTTTTAAATGTAAAATTTTAGGAAAGACTATTTCAGGGTACAACGATGTTCAAAAACACAAAAAAGCCAAGAAAGATTTAAAACTAAATAAAATTTTAAACTTATTCCCCTGTTCTGCAACAAGATGAAAAGGAATGAAAAAAGGTTCCAGGTAATTACTAAGAAAGTTTTAATACAATATCATCTCTACATGAACCATCATTTGTTACTGATTAATTCATTTTCAAAAGTTCTCATCAAATAAGAGAAGAAAAAAAAAATTACGATTGTAATATGACACTAACATAGTCAACAATATGGGGTTGAAAAGTAATCTGACCTGCACTTCAAAAGTGAAATATTTTTTCATGTTCTTGACGATCATCACCAAGAATGGCAATTTGATACCAAGGGTTTGTTTCGGATCCAATGGACATGAAATGTAGGTGGTGCTGGAAACCATAAATGAAACTAAGTTTCGCGATACACTATTTGATGCACAAAATATCTTTATAGTTTATGAAAACTTTCAAAACATTTCATGGAAGAAAAGTCTACTATAAACTTGACAAACTCCAAATTTCAAAAATTTTCGCAAAACTTAATCCATCGGAAAATTTAAATATCCTCAAGTAATTTTAACTTGAAAAGCAGCTAAATTATTAATATAACAATTCACCTCACATTCGTACCTAACATTTCGACCACTGATGACTGTATATCGTCATCTTTAATCCTCTTTATGTATCCATTACGAACCTGAAAAATAAAATGTAGCGACATATAGTTTGACAAAAAATTAGCATAACATATGATTGACTATTTGAGATACATTTTTGATAACATGAAAGTCATCACTGTTCTATGTTTTTAAAAATGCATCTCTTACTGAATGATAACAATCATAGTCATGAAAAGGTGAGAACATCTTTTACCAATTTATGAGAAAAATGTGACATACTATTCAAGCTAACGGTAACGCTTTTTTTAATGCACTAATAGTAATCAAACAGGAAAAGTCTTCACCTACTGATAGAGATTTTTTCTCGGGCTAGAAAACTACATGAAACCTCAGTACTTTTTGTGTAAACAGGGAAATGAAATATAGAAGAAACCTACCTTTTTATCCCAAATTTGCAATGGATTACTACCAATGCTGTATAATACAGATAGTAATCCACTTTGAAATGTGTTATGAAACATTCGAGCTGAAAAACATCCAAGAGTTTAAATCATTTTATTGGAAAACTTACAGTACGTTGGAGTGAGTGATTAATAGCAGAACAATCTCCAAATTCTTTAATTTTATATAAAATGATATGAAATTCCACTGAATCTCAACTTTACACATGAAACTCACACCGAGACAAAACATTCTGAAGTCAGAAGCAGCACCCAAAAGTTAGCAATTAAATTTTGGATTTCATAAGTACCATAGTATCGCAGATGCAAATGTGCAATTACGATTCTACATGACAGCAGTTATATTTCATTCTATTTGACTGATTTATGCTTGGAATTTGAAAAGTCACGAAGTATCTGACTAAAGAATAAATGTGTAAAATCTGAAGGCAAAAATTTAGGTTGTTAAGTAAAAGTTATTTCATTACTGCCGAGTACATAGCAATTTTGATCATAGAATCAGAAGTTAAGGGGAGCGGACGGAAAAGAAAAAAGGCACTTGTAAAATTATATTCAAATGCATGGAGAGCAGTTGTAGAAAGTTTTGACGAAACATATAGTAAATATAAGAGACCAAAAAAGATAAAACATCATGTAGAAATTAGAGTTTCGAGATATACATTGAAAGAACACAATAAGAGAAGAGTGAAAAGATGACTGAAAGAAGGAGAGACACGGGTATTGATACAAACGAAAAAGTAGATGAATGAATAATTGTTGTATGTCATACTTTTACAAGTCATGATAATAACTATTTTTTTCTATCGTTTGAAATTTATTGTTGCAAAGTCTTGGACTAACGAAGGTTTGTGATAGAGAATAATTTTACGTGTTGAGGAATGGCGGATAACTTCGTGCCATCAACTTCAGCTGTTTTATTTCCGGATTTAATGTCACGTGATGAACTTACTGCTGTCTTGAAAGTTAAATTCCATCGAATGGGAGTGAAAGTGCTCAGACTAGACAAACTTTCGCACGATGAATTACTCAGACAATTTAAGAAGTATGTTATGCCGAAACCGCAACGAAAGGTTATATTTATATTGATGGTGCAATTCATAATTTGAAGGAATAATTTATGATGCTAACTTTTGGAGCACAAAAAGTGGTAGAGATATGTGACTTATTTCATGCAGATATTTTTTGTGAAACCACTATAATTTGTATGCAAGTCAATAACATTTATTCATTAGCAATCATTGTCAATATTTAGCTTGCAGCTTATATGTTAGCTGTTAACTTTAATTTTTGATAAATCAAACTCAGCAGTTCATTAGCTTTGCTCTTAGAACTTTTATTCTAAATTGTTTACATCAGTTAATGAGCAGGTGTTTCCCATGTTTAATAGCAGTAATTTCTAGGCGCCAAATTTTTATTGCTCTACAATTAATCGAACAGGAAACAGAACTAATGCCAACGACTTGAGAAAGATGTCTTTAACCAAACTTCAGGTTTGACTAGTTATTATAATTACAATAGGAATAGAGTACTGAACTGATATCAGGCAGTAAATATATACATAATATGAGTTCAGTAATATCTTACGTTTTTGAGATTACTAAGAAACAAGAAGCAAATTCATTTTTTGGTCTACTGCTTTAAATATAATCTACCTATCAGTTAAATGAAGTAGGTTTTCTGTACTCTGTATTTTGTTCATGCATATTTCAGAATTCGCAAATGAAGCAAAACAAAGCTGACTTTATAAATGGACAAAAACTGTGCAACAGAAAGCAAATTGCTGGTTGCACAGAAAATTATCGCGATGTAAAGAAAGCTAGAAAGCATTCTCCAGTTCGATTCCCGTAACCTCGTCTGTATTATTTCATTCAAGAAATAAAGTTCAGGGCTCAGTATAAATTTTCCACTGTACATGAGCGTATAGCGTATGTATTTATTTCTTTTTGCTTTTCTGATGGTGAAATAGATTTTAAGATTATTTTTATTGGAATTTGCTGCTCATATATACTTGTTTTTTATACACTTTAAAATTGCTTATATTGTATTCTAATTGCTATCATCGTAGATTTGACTCATTACAGAAGTTATGAATACATTAAAAAGAAGTGCATTGAAATTTGTCCTGTGTTATTTATTGAGGTGCTGGAATTTTGTGCTGTGAATTCGAACTTATGTAAAAACTGAGGCTTATATTTCAATATTTTAGAAAACCGTTTCATGTAAGGATCTTTCGTTATCAATCTATTCCTGCGTCTCATGTTTTATTGTACAAGTCGTTCGCTCATATTTCATATGTTGTAAGCATAATCTACATTTCAAGTAAGTTACTGTTGAATTTGATGTATTTAATGCATATTTTTTGTTGAACTCTATTTTTTAAGCTGTAAGTCACAACTTTAAGATTTGTTTTCAATTGTTTTATGATATATATTGAAATAATGATCCAGATTACACACATTAAAATGTATTAATGTTAAGTTTTATTTTTGACACGCATTTCATGATCTCATTATAGTCACACACAATTTTTTTAGGTGTGATTATGGTCTTCTTTTTGTCTTATGGTTAAGTTGACAAGAGTATAGTTTTATTTAAATACTTTTATTTACAATCACATTTGATTTTTGTGTCGTACCTTTACCATGTTTTATTATTAATAACGAGCAGAGATAAATTTTGTTAGTTTTCACCCATTTATATTCACAACGTTTATCATACACTGTAGTAGAATCGTTGTAATTTTGAGTTTACTTACATTGACAACCTACGGAACATATAGGATTGATTTTTAGACAAAATTAGTTCCGTAATAACTTGATATAGATTAAAGCATTGTTCTTGTAGCATTGGAGAAGAAATAGGTTTATGAAGGTTAGGCATTGATTACTCGCATTAATTCACTTGTGAAACAAGTTTTTACATTCTAAGCTTTGTGTATTACTCTAAATGTTTTCTATTTGCTTCTAAATTGCTGATAATAGATAAAAAGAATTTGGCAACTTATGTGTGCTTGAAACAAGAAAATTTAAATACTACTACTTTCAATTATCAAAGTTTTGAGCGAATAACTTCTGACTTGAGATAAAATGACTTCAAAAGAGATGGGATTTACGTCTGATTTGGGCAGCTGTTAGTACTGTCTGTGATTGTTTATATGAATTAAGCATAAAAACGAGTGGAATAATAATGTAGACATAATTCGAGAGTTATCCCTGTTGCAATCATGGCTGCATTGAGATAGAAGGATTCAGTTGTAATAATAATTGAAAGTGTCTGAGAGCAAACATTTGAATATTTTTCACAAAAGACAATCGCCATCCATAAACTGTGTATTAGCTATAGTAATTGATTCATACTGTGCAATTTTCGCTTCATTCTTCTTGAGCCACATCTTCCTGAGTGCTTGTCTATATGGTCGAAGCAAGAATAAATTGATCAAAGCATTAGATAATGGATGAATACCAATTATCGCTTCACCAACAATAAACCAAATCATATCAAGATCGATGGAAAACATAAAGAATACATCTGAAATAATTTATAGAACTGATTATTGATATGATATGATATGATATGATTGTTGTAAATGTATTGCGATATTATTTGCACAGCTGAAGTTACGATAAATGGAAAAAATCAAACAAAATGTGGTGAATGTTAATAGTGCGAAAAAAAAAATTTTTTTAAGATTATATAAGATACATTTTTTAAATACAAATAAAAGACGTAAAATGTGTGAAACTCAGAAATAATACAATATTTATGAAAATTGTTAATTCTAAATTTTTTTATTTAAGTAAAAGCATTCTTTTGTATATTCAAAAAATTTTGAGCATACAACTTTCAAATAGAAAGGATATATTTGCAATGGATTTTTCTTCGGATATGAAATCAGAAAGTGTCAAGAATGTATATTTTTGTGAATATTTTCAATTTTGTGCTTTCAAATGAGCAAATAGTCATTGAAATATGTAAAATTACTCAGCATATAAAATATATTTCTTTCACACAATGCTTACTTTGTAATTGACTGCAAAAATTTTTTTGATATAATTATTTTTGAAGTAAAATAAATATGCTTGTGATGTAAAAAAGTGTACTTTTCATAACAGATAATTAGAAAAGCAAAAAATGACAATACTACTTTGAAAATGTGCTCTTTAAATGAGTGCTAATCTTTTCATATGAGATATTTTCAAAAGGTCAACTTTTAATTTTTATTATTACATTTTTATACATTATTATTATTATGCGTATTAATATTTATAATGCTGGTTAATTTTTCACTACTAATTGCAATTTTCAGTAAAATATATTTTTACATTGTTTAATAATATTTTGACGTGATATTGTTTAACGTAATCATTCAGTATTACAATTGTTATTGTTATAAATGCCAGTTAAATAAGACTTATTGACTGATTAGTTTCAATCTTATTCATAACCGAAATATTATCAAGAAAGTAAACGCATAAATGATGACAAGAATGCACAAACTTGCGATATAATATGGCGTAGCTAAGACAAGTGGCATAAATGCTTGCAAAATATATGTATAAACGATTCCTTTCTGCTGTTGTAATTGGCGTGGATTCAAGCTTCTACCAATTTGCTTGCGAGCCGCTTTGGACTGCCGGCGTATAATAGATGATAGTACTAGCAAGTTGCAGATGAATGAAAAAATGAAGAATGACGGCGAAAGTACGAAGAATACAAACTGAAATTACTTCTTCTCTTCTTTTTAATTACTGACTTATTTTATTTGTTTTATTTTTACTTGTTTCTAATTAATATTTGGCTTTGTCACCTTCATTCATTATAATTATTATCATTAATAAAACTTTTCATAACAATATTTTATTCAATTTAAAATTGCTATAATAAGTTTTTGTTAGCAAAAATTGTTACTAAAATTATGTTTTTGAAAACTATGTTGAATTTATACTCACAAATTCTGAAAACAAAATACAAAAAATAATACTGCCATCTTTTTTTATTCGAGTTTTAATTTGTTATAAATTGCTTCTTTTTTTTTTTGCATTAATTATTTGTTATGCAATATCGTTACCACACAGTTATTTGTAATTAAATATTATAATAATTTATCAACTTTTCAAAGTTAAAAAAATAAAAAACATAATGTAACTATGACTTTAATCACAGTAATCAATCTAAAATATGAAAATCAAACTGTAGCAAATAAATAATAAGATAGCAATGGTTTTAAATAAAGCCAAAGTTATTTATTATATACATTCTTACTTTCTTTCTCTAAGATAAAATTAACCTAAAAAATAAGCACACAAAAAGAATAAATTAGGAACACCACAAAGATGAATGCAACAGAAATCACTTTTTTTAAAACTTTGCAAAACTGCAAAAAGTAACTTCATCTCATTCACCAAACGTAATTCTTTACTTTAATCAAGTGATTCCAAGCGAAATTTTCGGCAAAAAATGTATTATATTAAATAAATAATTGACTGAATAAATAAATACATGCAGATATGGTTATCTACTTACTCTAATTCACGAAATTAAACTGTTAAATTTTAAATTTGTTCAATTAGTTTAGATTATAACTTATTTCAAATACTTTAATGTTGCGAAAAAGGAAAAAAAATTATTATCATAGTATGCTTTGATAATTTGCGTTAATTACATATTTTAGTATCTTGGCAATTTAATTAACAATAAAGTACAAATTACTTACAAGTAAAAATTCTAATGTGTCAATGTTTTCAGATTAAATCAGTCATTAATTATAATTATCGCTTATATTTTGAATAACTCATTAAAATTAATGTGTGAAAAATTGGGATTTCATGAGACAGTTGAAAGACAGTAACAAACATATTTTATTAAACATTTTTCAGTTTACATATAATGTAAAACATTTAAATTTTTGGCACTTCCAAGAATTATTTTCCACTTCTCCAGAAATATTTCGAGCAAAAGCTTTTTTTGGTTTTTTTTCAATTTTTCAATTTTTTGCTATCACACAATTTTTTGCTTAAGTAGTATACAATACCTTGCTGTTATCATTAAAATTTAGTCAATTTTGCGTAAGATTTTTCATTAGAAGCAAAATTTCGCATTTTTTTCATTGTTTTGCTTCAAGCACACTATCATTTTTTTTTCGAAATTATTTTACTAAAATTTAGCGCAACTTTTTTTCGAAATATTAGTAAATAAATATATATTTATATTTAGTTAAAGAATAATATATATA